ACACAGATTGTTACCTGCATCAGCTGGATATGTAGTTAAATCATGTCATATGGTTGAATACAAAATGGCATTTGACGTATATACAAACACATATACTTACCATGTGTCTACCCTTAGTTACGACACACGGCCTAATCAGTCAGTTGACTTTTATTACCTGAATAGATACGAAAACGGTCCTCTAGGAACAGACACATCATAGCTGATCAACAATGTAAACAAGCTTATGATATGTGGAAAAGTACAGTAAAAGGCAAAACCCCTGTTAACTGTTAAACACGAATGTATATAACTGCAATATTTAATTAATGTCCACTATCATCGATCGTTTTGTGGCCGGCTACAGAGCTGTCCTCAACACCCTATCGACCTTTGTTCAGCTGTACAACTTACTGCACGAGCACAAGGTGCCCAGCGTGCCACACCTATGTCAGGTCACTATGATTCACGACATATATATCGTACAATAACACTCTCAGAAGCGTGCTTCCGTCTACAATATGTATGGGCGATCACGCCTCTCTAGACCCCGCGTGTATTGACACTTTTGACAATGATTCCCTACATGTCATTTCGCCTACAGAAATGTTTCTTCGGGGCCATTTCGGTTACATCTGTTGACATTGTTATACCTCATCGAAGGTAAACGTCGGCAACAATGAGAAAATCAATATTGTGCTGAACACAAACTGCTATCACTAAAACAACTTAAAGGACTATTTTAGCTTGTATGAAATAGTCAACATACTGATAAATCATATTGACTTTTCAAATAACAAACCTAAGGTGTGTATATTGTCTGAGTAGAAATGACACAAAGATGACTAGGGTGTCGAAATATGAATCTTACGTGACCAAAATAACAACCCAGAGTAAGAACATTACGTCCTGTGATACAGCTATCTGTGGGAATCAGCCCTACACAAACATACACAAGTAGCAGTATTACTGTGTCGCATATATAGAAATGATCCGTTCCCAAATGGCTACCATTTGACAAATACGAAATAGCAAATATGAAATAAATAATAATTTAGCATGGGATATTATCGATAATACGATTTGGTCATATTACAACCGTTTTCTGTAAATGTGATACCATTAGTGTTTCCAGCAATAAACATTCAATACCATGGTAAAGTAAATTTGCAAAAGAGACGTCAATTTATTTCGCGAAAGATTACAATTCATAAAACTTATACACCTTGCACGGTAATTAAATAGATGGAGAAATTTAAATCAAAATAAAATCTTACCTGAAGGAGACTATTATCCATAGTACCATAGTTTTAAATCTCATCGGGCTGTAGATGTGGTGTGCCATGGCTGTCTATGGAGCCAAATGAGCTATTACGAGGACCGCAAAACCTTTTAACAAACGTTGCAGCAACTTGTACAATTCAGGACCTTAGCTTAGAGGCCGATGCATAATCCAGCGATATTAAAAGCTTTAAACCTGGTAGAATAATGAACCACTGCCAAACGGTTTCCGGTGGCAGCTTCTGATGACGTTAGTCTTCCGGGTAGTCTCGAGCCAATATAAACAAGTGAGTTTGTCTGCACTTCAAAGCTGTTGTTATTCTATGATTTCGTGTAACATGTCTCCATAGAAGATAATTTGAAATCTGATAGATAACAGATTGCTGGTCGATAAACACGTATTTGGAAAGTACAAACGAACACCAATATGAACATTTTGCCCGGACGAGACGCCACTGGTGATTTTGTTAGTCTGTACGTTTATAGCGCCACAAAAGAAGGAATTGCTCTTAAATCTAAGAAAATGAAGATAATAATATAGCATTTTGACATTAATCTGAATGTGTTGAATGAAGACACAATGGTGAAAGGATTATAACGAGTAAATTGATAACAGTGAACCCAATAAGTATAAAATGTATTACTTCGCAACCTTATCAGTTAGTAAAAGGGATTTACTCTTATGTTTTACTCATCATATACATGACTCAGATATATCTGTTCATAAACACTATTTATGGCAAAGGATCCAACGTACATGAACATTAAATAAAACTGAATGGTATACATTCACGAGCGCCATGCTACGTCATGTATAATATAAGGCTTTAGGTATCATACTGAGAATACCAAGTGTGCTACACATACATTTAGAAAAGCATTGTGGACTATATGTACAGAAATACACATATGGATATAAAACAATGAGAACATGTTCAGTGCCTTAATGCATCTGCACCACTGGGCATCGGCTATTCACATTTCTTTGTGTGATAATTCCAAAAATAGGTCCACCCCCACCCCCAAAGGATATATTCTTCCAAATGATATTGGATATTCTCAACAATGGAATCTTTGTCTACATGAATCAGACAAAGAACATATATCATTACCTATAGACACAGACAATTAATGATTCAATAATTATCGAGGAATGTAATTAACTTCAAAGCACAGCTATTCAATTCGGAGAATAGAATTGTGTTCTCCATTAATGTTAACTTAATATGCTTAATATGTTACTGGCAGGCACAAGCGCCTCAATGCAGGACATGCATGTACACAATGGCTATTGTTTCAAAGCATATCTACCAAATATTTATCCTCAAGTGTGACTCTTCATTCATCAAAGCAAAACCTGCCTTGTTTCTTGACTCTCAATATTTAAAGTGTAAAATGTTGGTGCTTTTTGGAGAAGGCGAATTCGAAGACATTAGCACAAACGGCATCCTATTGGTAACAAACATCACATGAAGCCTTGGCATAAATGACCACATTCTGCTCATGATTTCTAATGTAAAACTTCCCAAAGTAAACAACATGTACCTGGGCCCCTTGTCGACTGCCTTGGCTTGCACAATCCATGTGGAGAATTGTAAGACAGGTGTTGCAGCGGCATGGTGTATGTCAAGGTTGCGTAGCCAGGCCACAGACCCGTGTTGTTTATTCATACAGTCAACACAATCGACATGTTGGTTCAGGGTTTAAGGTTGGAGTTAACTCCTTAATGACATTTTGAAATAGCTTTGAAGTTACATGTACGTGTAGTTTTCTTTCAAGAAATGAAAAGTTACCGTTTCTTTGTCCTTATGTTTGCATTGATGTTACCTTAAAAGACACTAACACACGCACGCACGCACGCTATCACACACGCACACACACACGCGCGAACACACACACGCACGCACACACACACACGCACGCACGCACGCACGCACACGCACGCGCGCACTTTGTCTTTGTTTCACAAATAAAACTTAAAAGCGGAAAAATAAAAATCTCCAGATCAATTTTGTTACCGAAGTAATACAAATATATCTTCCTGCGGTGTTTGGCATTCAAAGTGACAACATAGTTTTTAAGTTTTAGAAATGAAAAGAATACAGCACTTGAGTCCTTGAACAGTATTGGCATGTTATTCCAAACTGTGAAGCTAATATTTGCTTTTCCTTTCAATATAAGGCAACACATGAATAATGTTTGCAAGTACTAATTTGGATTATCATCTCCATGTTTCTATTTCAAGTGCTTATCGCTCTAGGTATCATCAGCTGAAGAGTTTGTTTTTGAGATCTTCATCATGATGATAATATTTCATACTCCATCTGAGCGAACTACATAATGCATTTGCATTTAATGATCGTGACGTCTAATTTGACAATCGATTATATAATCATATATAATCATTCTAACATCACGCGGGGCGGTCGGGTAGCCTAGTGGTTAAAGCGTTCGCTCATCACGCCGAAGACCCGGGTTCGATTACCGACATGGGTACAATGTGTGAAGCCCATTTCTGGTGTCCCCCGCCGTGATATTGCTGGATTTATTTGCACTGAAACGTGTTGCAAATTTGACCTAAATATTTCACGAATTATAAAGATGTTGTCTAACCATCGTTAGTTCGATATTCATATTGATCCCCTGGAAACTGATACAGCGCGACATGGCGACATCACGTCTTCTGACATATAAGTCACTCTTTAAAAGTAAACTGTCGTGATTTTATATGTCCTAGAATGCATTAGTAAATTAACAACATATATATGGGCATCAGTTGTATGAAAATGCAACATTAACATTAACATTGACCTAGTGATGCACATCTGAGGTTTCAGTGAGTGAGTGAGTGAGTGAGTGAGTGAGTTTTGATTTTACGCCGCTTTTAGCAATATTCCAGCAATATCACGGCGGGGGACACCAGAAACGAGCTTCACCCATTGAGGTTTCAGTCCTATTCATCCACTCTTTCATCCACTATTCTTATTGTCAAACACTGTAGTCAGACTTTCTTACGTGAAATGATGAAGATTTCCTAGGTGGGAGGTTATTAAGTGCAGATGACAAAGGTGATACACGACTACCCTGTGATAGCCACCCTAATACCATTAGGAATGTCCATTGATTCCATAGCAGACAGACTGGTACCACTTGACAAAAGCATGGCCCACATTCCCAGAGGGATCTATTGGTATTACACGGTATTAGCGGCAGTGGTCTTCCTGGTGCATCCTGAAGGAGACATCGTGCTGATACAAAGCTTGATCAGAAAGATGTAGCTATCTCAGTCTATTGCGCTACCGATTAGCAGTGAAGAAATGTATATACTTTTAAATTAACATAAACATGATGTTTAAGTAATAACTAATATCACAGTCATATATATAGCTTCGAATTGCATTTTTCTTCCCTCCATCTGGAAGCACAATGGTTGTTTATTGCAAGGTGAAGCGGTTATTTCTAACTGCAGTGGGCTTTCAAGTACATAACCATCTTGTTAATGTGTGTCCCATGAGCACTGTATTGTTTTCTAGGATCTGTAAAAACCGTTTCCACACACTAGTTATCGTGCAATTCTTCCACGAGTGTTCCCCTAAGTTATATTCCAGCGAGCTCATACTCAAACGTCAGTGACTACCTGCAGTACCAAGTCTTCAGTGTCCGGCGGCACCGGTGTGATTATTGGAAATGAAAGTTACAGTTCATGCATACCTAGATGCTGCATGCATGTGTGTACTTACTTATACATTCCAAGCATGATATCCAGTAAGTACCCTAGGGGAACATCACGAATACTGAAACGGGAAATCACATGTCTTATCACAGGAAGACAGTCCGACGAATATATTTACAATATTTCCACAAATATAACCAAAATGTCACCGTTGAACTCTTGAAAAACGAATAGGTTCTGTGTGTGGTTCGGGGGATAAGAAGGATAAAGCACTATACACCAGCGAAAGAAATTACGTTGTTTGAGAGAGACAGATGCCGCAAATATTAACACAGATGAAAAACGGCCAAAGTTGGCAAATATCTGACTCTTGTTCGGTACAATAGCCTGCTATCGTACAACAAGGATGTTTTAGCGTTTTTCTTCTGGTTGTCTAATTTGGTTTTGTTGCAAGTATTCTTATCCATTTCCCATACGAATGCAAGCGAATGCATTGTGAATTTGGCAATTGCTTAAGAAACATCAACACTTAATACGATTTTTTAACAACAAACAGTACTATGAAATGTGACCTTGTTTGTTGTTCTTACGCCATTGACTCTGTTTATATGGAATAAATCAGCATCACCTTGTTGTGTCGATATCTTGTTGTCTAACGCATGTATTTGTGACCGCCCCAAGTCAGGGTGCATGCTGGTCTAAACCATTACACACAAAAGTACTGACATTCTCATGACCACTTATTTCATGGGCTATGCCTGACTAAGATATATGCAGTCGACATGGACGTTTTCCTATCTAGCAATAACAAATGGCATTTAAATAACTGAGTACGCATGTCACCTTGGTTACAGGTTAACTGGAATGGCGGGATTGTTTTGACGGTTGCCTGGCAACATTTACAATCCAGGACCTGGGACACATATAATGCTCGAGACAGACATATCTTCCCAAATACGACTATTGATTTACAAGGGCTAACGTCGTCCACCATACTAATGGATATAATGTTCAATAATGTAGTCATACACATTTCTGAGCCATTACTACAATATGTTTTAACATACCCCCTTTCGGATAGCAATTTATCATCTTTAACACTTATCTGAGACCAACCTCGGAAAACGGGAGATTAATTTATTGATGTAAAAAATTCATTACTGTACCGAAATAAATGTTGAACTTCAAAACTGCAGTGCCGTATTTCGATAGTGTGTGTGCTTAAGTTGATTAACGTAAGTTGATTACTTTGCAATATACACGCATATGTTACAACCTTGTAAGGTCACATTTTACAATGGCGCTCATTGTTCAATGGTGGCATTAACTGAAAGTCAAAGTCTAAGTAAATCAATGTAATACACATGCGTTAGAGAAATAATGTGTCTGAAAACATTTGTAAATCGTGCCAAGCTTTAGTTTACGGTAACTGGCGGCTGTGAGAAACAAGCATGAAGTAGAGGTTTGAGTTAATACATGTTGGGAAACATATTTACACTGAAGTCAAATTTCAACTGTCAGCAGAAAATGATGGATATTACCCGCAGTTTTACAGACTGTTTAAGTGAACTTGTTTACTGAAGGAAATAGATCAGATCGTAGCACATTCTAGCTGCTTAAGATCTTCTAAAAACTTCAGATCGAAAACATATTACAGCAACAAAGGACATTTAGCTGCTCGACAGCGGGTTCAACTTGATGTCCTTACCTCAACCTCCGTTTCCGAGAAGATCCCATTAAAACATATGGACTAAATCTCATCTTGACATTTCACGACTTTACAGACCCACGGCAGTATGGGGACACTGAAAAACACCTGTGTAACATCACAATCAATATGGACAACAATCTATTAAAAATATTTAACTTTCTCACAATTACATGTCACAATCCTCATACTCACAACACCATACATATAATCATAAAGCAATCTGACGTCGTAAACTGCGATGATTCACCAGAGAAGTAAAACAACCAAACCCCTGCACTAACCAGCCTCACGATGAGAGCGGAAAACCTTTCATTTTGTTGACCTAAATACCTTATAAATCAGATCATCCATAAAGACCAACAAGGTATGATAAACTGTTTAAGAGAGAGGAAGGAAGTTCTCCGTATAAATGTTTACAAGATAAACAGGCCATAATCGAGAAGCAAATGCTAACAAGTGAGAATGTGACGACCACTTGTGTCAGGACACACCAGGGACAGTGCAACCACATTGCAATTGGCAGTTCCTGCAATTGGTTGTGGGTTTCAGAATTTAACAGACGACAAACACCTGCCTGAGATTTCGTTACTTATCCTTTTCCTGTTTTAGTCCGAGGGTCATCTCATCGGTGTTAATACTTCCGTGTATACCATTCAACTGAGGATGTTTACTACAGCTTACGTCTCTACAAACAATGGACGCCTTCACTGTCTAGTAACAGAGGACATAGCTGATCATGAATACCGTGGGGTGTATGTCACAAACATAAACATAACTGTAAGAACAGCAGAATCAGATGGTACGAAACTAACACTTGAACGATAACTTAATCTGATCTCGGAGGGCGGAATTGTTTGGTACTGCCCGTCCCCTGTACATCGCCACTCACTCTTCCATATTATTATGCCAGCCTCAGTCTACACAAGAAGCGAAAGCATAACCATCATAGCATGGTTTGCAGATACAACTTGTGACGTTGTTGCTGAAAGAGTGTAGTAGACATATAATGACTGTCTGACAGTTCTGCGGGATAATTTGGCAGTATAAATGTTCAGATAAACCAATGATTAAAATTGTGGTAAAAAGCTATCAACTATGAACTGAGGGGCACCCTTTGTGAAACACCACATGGTATCTTCTATGACACCATCATGACTAAGTTAGAGGCTATTCACCTCACGTGACCCTATAGTAGATGAAGACACAGCAAAGCATCGCTTCACGCATGGCTAGGCAAGCTAACAACACCCCCCGTTATAACGCTGCCCCGGGCTACGATTGAACTATACCCAGAAAACTGCTGGGTGGCGGAATATGTCGTAATAACGACAGAAATTGCGAAATCATTTCTCCGCTTCAGTTGGTCATTGAGAACTCTTGTATAGATAACAAACGGGGAGATTTAGTGTTTTGTGTCGTTTTCACAGGAGATAAAACGTGTCAACTTATATTGTATGAAATGAAAATAATGACAATTGATGGGAAAGTTGTGCATCGACTGCGGATGACTTGTGTCAATGAGAGATATGGACCGTGAAATGGTCAGGGATTCCCGTTTCTGCAGCTGAAAAGACCGCGATACATATTTCAGGGATAGTCGTCTTGTCAAATGTGTGGCTGTTGATGGCACACCGATTTCCGAACGAACACACCTTGTTGAATAGATTGAATAGATGGCACTTAGACGTTGTAGTATCAATGAAGGTAGGGACAGGGATTTCAACTTCTTCTTTTTCTTTTCAATAACACAGACAACTTCCATATGAACGACTGATTAGTATGCTTTAAAAAGGAAAGCATGGATATATGTGTCTCGCACTGGCATGTCAATATACGTAATATCACGTTACACGCACTGTAGAACATGCCACAGATAATGGTTCGACAGTCATTTCTGATCACCACAGGCCATACCTAATCTGCACACATGATCACATCGACAAGTTATCAGCAGATAACCACGTCAATATTTGATATCATCTTCCATCGCCGTTTGTAAGATACCTTCAGTCGCCCTCTGGTCCAGCTATGCATGGAATCCAGTCGTTTGGGACAGTAACAAGCAACATTGTGTCCCCTCTCACAGCAAGAATGCAAGCTACAATAAGGCTTTGTGACAAAATATGTCGCTAGCTGGTCAATATGCCTTTTATGGTATAGCCTAGCATATTGTACGGTGCCCGTCTCCAAATACACTGCCACATTGTACGATTTATGGATATGACTTATAACAAGAATGCCGACCATCTAGGAAAACCCACATTTGAACTACGTATGTCTCGAATAATCAAGCAGCCGCTCTTAAATATAGTTATCTACATAGCACACAACTGAATGCTCAATGGAAACACGTTAGGTCATACACCGTAGCAGAACTAAATAGGTACAAATCTCAAGAGGTCAGTTACCCCACCTTTGTCGATTACAACAATAGTAATGCCTTCTTTCAAACAACAATAGCTCACAAGTGATTTCCTCAAATTTAACTTTTTCATCCCTTCATAGTATCAGCTACCTGAGATCTATGGTCTTCTGAATGACCGTACATCAGTGTCCCTGGGGGCTAATGACGCAATTGATACAGGTATGTGTAACATTTTCGTAGTTCTAGGCCCGCACGAACCTGAACCTACCAGGCCGTAATTATTTTGAGATTGTGTCTAGAGGAATATATTATCTTATGGTTGTGTTGTGGATTGCATCTTTATGTACATGTATATAACAAGGGGTGGTATACAGTACTGTCTGTATATGGCTTGGATTACGCTGTCCCCGGCGTTGTTTGTACGTCAGTATGTTTGTTATCCGACCGGGATCAGTCGAGAGTCACTATCCGGTGACAGATGAACTACAACTGATTACACCGTCTAAATTTAAGATCCCTTTCAAACTGCCCTCATTCTGAGATGGAATTAAAGTCACACGTGCAGATTACTCCAAAAAATCTGTGTTCCATGACAGGACTACTATAAGAATATTTTATTGTCATTACAATAATCATTAAACAGTGTGTGAAACTTCATCCCAATGCACATTGTTTAAACGTCAGGCTTGACAAGATCTGGTGTAGGGAAATGACCATGTCATCTGAAACGACCTCGCTGTAATAAACACCGCCCCATTGTGTATTCCATAGAGACTACGACATGGATGTCCCATTGTTAGTGTCATTCACAAACACCACGTGTAATTAGCCACTGGGCCAATGCCATTCTGGCTTTGTCTTTCGTAATACACATAACCAGACCAAGTCATCGACCTAATAAAAGCTGCCCTTTTAATGATGCAACCATCGCGATAGCTGCTGAAAAGTAATGCAATTAAAACGCAAAATTGTCAGCAGTCGCGTTGGCCATATTTGGCAATGTCGGTCATGCACACAGAATATCGTTATTAATACATAGTGTTGT